TCTAATAAACTGTATTACTTGTTATTACAAAGAATCTAGGGAGGATTCAGAAGCCCCACTGGAAGAGATATTACACAAGACACACGATCTGTTACCCACTACTTTCACAAAATTACACCACCAGCTCAGGCCCAGTAACAATTTGGGGTTCTCAAATCTCACTGACGACAGAGATGAAGCACCCCTTTTGCTTTGCAGCTTCTGAATGTAAGTAGTTGATTTCTTTCCCCCACAGAAATGCACAGTCAGCACTCCATCTACTTGAGTACAAATTTAAGAGGGAGACATTGAACAATATTCAGGCAAATCTGGTCACAATCTGAGTAACGCAATGAGTAATGCATCTGGCTAGGAAGCAAATAAGTTCACCTGCCCAAAGCTGCAAGTGTGATTAAGGCACATTATACTGTTGGTTCTTCAGAACCTGTGGTGTTGGTAGCAGGGGTTACTGCTCCTGAAGGATAAGCAAAACCTGGGTAACACTAATGCTACAGAGCTGAGACTTCCACGTCACACTCCAGAACAAAGCATATTCAGTTTAAGCACAGCAACACACAAACACATGGGTCAGCTCCACTCCACAAACCCCACAACTACTCCCAGAGTCAAGCAAAAGCCAAGTATACCATGCCATGAATGATAAATTAGTGGCTTGGCAATCAACTGTCTTTTTCACCATAACATCAAGACACCAGAGCAGGCAGAATGTGATTTCTCTTGGGTTAGGAGACACTTTGCAACCTCCTCTCTATCTTTGAATGTTCATTTCATGAAGCCATTTTGATATAAAACATTTGTTCATGGAGAATGTTCCAGTGCACAGGGACAGCACTGCCCATGCATCCTGCATACCCAGAGCATTGCTGGAGCTGTGGATTCATGGAGAAATTAGTCTCCTCTTCCAAGTCTTCACACATTTTTTTATTTCTCTTGTTTCTGGAGAATGTCCTTCTTCAGACAACAGCGGGGCAGGTGCCTGTACCAGTTTGGAGTTGGCGTCCTGCCAAGTCTCCGAAACTCGACAACAGGGTCCCCTTCCCAGAGAGGGAAGGAAAAAAAAAACGACAAAAAGGAAAACCAGGCAGCCAAAGTTCTAGCAAATATATATATATATATAAATATATGAGACAAATACACAGAAGGGGAAA